ATGTTCGATGCATTAGATATGCTTACTCAGCTTCAACGCTGAGCGTGTAGTATGTTTTATTTGCTACACGCAGGTTAATGAAGTGACGTGATCCTGGAGGCAGACGGAGGCGAGATTGTCAGAATGGATGTGATGGTTTTGAATTAAAGAACATAAATAAATTATGTTTGTGATTATGATTGTTAAGCTTCCGCAATATGGAAAACTCCGTACTGTTTATATTATGAAAAATATTATTGTGATAAATGAAAGTGTTTGAAATGTTTTAAATTTTTACGATTACCAAGTTAATACTTTAATCTGAAAGGGGCTGCAGACCTGGACAGATTAGGGTGTTACAGTTAATGACAAGTGAATTTGAGATGTCCATGATGGGTGAGCTTACATTCTTTTTGAGACTCCAAGTCAAGCAAATGAAAGATGTCACGTTTATTTGCCAAACCAAATACTGCAAGGAGCTCCTAAAACGATTCGAAATGGAAAACGCCAAAGCAATGGCAACCCCGATGAGCACGTCCGACCACCTAGACAAAGACGAAAAAGGTAAGGAAGTTAAAGTCAAAAAGTATCGAGGTATGATCGGATCCCTTCTTTATCTTACTGCTAGTAGGCCGGATATCATGTTTAGCGTATGCCTTTGCGCAAGGTATCAATCATGCCCGAAGGAATCGCACTTAACGGCGGTGAAACGGATCATGAAATACCTTGTAGGCACGGTTAGCGTTGGACTGTGGTATCCTAAAGGCTCTTCGTGTCATCTGGTTGGTTACTCCGACTCGGACTTTGCCGGTTGCAAATTGGACCGTAAAAGTACGAGTGGGACTTGCCACTTACTTGGTAGCTCTTTAGTTTCATGGTTTAGCAAGAAACAAGTCAGTGTTGCGTTATCCACAACCGAAGCGGAATATGTAGCTGCCGGTAGTTGTTGTGCTCAAATCCTTTGGATGAAGCAACAACTCGTGGACTATGGCCTTAGTATCAGTCACGTTCCTCTTCGTTGTGACAATACTAGCGCCATTAGCTTGACGAAGAACCCCGTTCTTCATTCAAGGACGAAACACATTGACATTAGGCACCATTTCATTAGAGATCATGTTCTCAAAGGTGATGTCGAAATTGAGTTTGTTGAAACACACAACCAATTAGCCGACATTTTCACAAAACCTTTAGAGAAAGAGTNGTTCTTCCGCATTCGTAGTGAACTCGGAATCCTTGACTCCACGATGATCTAATTTGTGCATTTTATCATTCTTTTATCTTTGCTTGAATACTTACTAACTTGAGCGTCGGAGGGTTTTCTAACTCTTTTTTGCAGGGACGGTTCGAAGTGAAGAATTCTGGAAATCAGGGGGAACCAGCGATGGGTAGGCCATACCATCGCTGGGTGGGAGGTTTTTTCTTTTTCAGAACTCCTCTTCCCATCGATGGGTGCTTCTTCCCATCGATGGGTAATTGACTCTATTTTTTTTTAAATTCTTAACGGATTTCCAGAAACACCTTACCCATCGATGGGTATTTCATCCCATCGCTGGGTGAAGGACTTTTGTTAAATTTTTCCAGAACCTCCCTACCCATCGATGGGAAATTTCTCCCATCGCTGGGTGTTTGACACTGTTTTTAAAACGTTTTGACGAATTTCCAGTAGCCACCCTCCCATCGATGGGTGTGTTTGACCATCGATGGGATGGCAGACTTGTTTTTCCCCTTCGCTTTCCAGTGTCGACCTTCCCATCGATGGGAAGTTCCACCCATCGCTGGGAAGCCTGCTGCACATTCAAATTTTTTAACCGTTGGTCACCATATTTATGGCCCAACAGTCACTTTTTTCAAATTCAAACGGTTTTCTCACCGTTCCCTATATATATCCTTCATCTCTACTCATTTTAACACACCTTTTTCACTTCAAAATCTCCTCTATTGCATATTTCTTCATCATTTTGCTTCAATCATGGCCGGAGGAAAGAAGACAAAGGCTTCCAAGAAGAAGGGCAACGCCGAAGCTACGACCTCTGCGCCCCAGCCGTTTCCGTACCTGGACGGATCCTTCTTGGAGTTCGGGTCGGAGGAGGAACTCAACCGGTTCCTCACGCACTTTGCCAAGTGTCCCATTTCTCCGCCTAGGGTGCTGCCCGAGTTGTACCCTCAACAAAAGGGGTACCACGACCTCGACAATCAGCTTCAAGCATCGGGTCTGTGGTCGTTCGTCTCCAGGAGTCGCTCGAGCTTCAATCCCGCCTTTGTGCGAGCCTTCTACTCCAATCTCCGCCGGGATGGGGACACCATTCGAAGTAGCATCAATCTCTACGACATAGAGATTGATTTGGCTACCTTCGCTCGGGTCGCAGGGCTGCCCACCCGCGGTGACGACATCGCAACATATGGCGGCGATGATTGGATCCTCAACAATGAGGCGGTGGTCATCCGAGAGCTTGGGATCACCAACCTCATCCGTCACAGCGGCGCACCAACAATCCACTCAGCCCCGCCGGAGAAGCGTCTTCTTCTCTACATCCTCACCCGGATTCTTCGCCCCCGGGACGGTAGCCACACATGTCTCTTCAACGAGGATCTCAAGGCGGTTCATGCTATCACCCACGGCGCCTCGATCAATTGGGAAAAATACGTCATGATTCACATGGCGGATTGCGCCTCCATCACCACTGAGCGGAGCTTCCCATACGCCTTCCTCGTCATGGACCTCATCATCTCCGCCGACATCTCCATCGCCGGCCCGGATACGAAGATGACAAAGATTTGGATAATTCAAGACAGCACCTTCTGGAAGAAGTCCGGAGACCGAGACGGCGCAGGCCCAAGTCGTGCACCAGCCCCGTCTTCCGCCAAGGCCTCTTTGCAATCCATAGCCGATACTCTGAATCGGCTAACACCACGACATGACGGCGTTCTTTCGCGGCATCAACTACGTCCCGCCGCCCTTTGACAGCACCCTCCTCGGCCAAAACTATGAAGGCGAGGACGAGGAGGATAACTCCTATGCTCCATCCTCCTCCCCCGACGAGGCCGACTTTGAAGATGCGGTCGAGGATGACGACGAGGACGCCGATGCTTAGACTTTTCCTTTCTCTTCTTCCTATGATGGTATTTCTTATTTTTTTCCATTCCGTTGTATTCCGCATTTCCCTTTTTCATGAATAAAAGTTTACTTTTACAATTCTAAAGTTTACTTTTAATTCTTTATGTTAATGTCAAAAGGGGGAAGATACTAAGGTTATGAATAAATTAAGGGGGAATTTTTTTTGTAAAATAGCATCTATTAAGGGGGAACATCTTTTTCAAAATAATCCTCCTATGCATAACCTCGTCTCGTTTGCCATTATCAAAAAGGGGGAAATTGTTGAAACACGGGCTTGTCACGTTTTCGTACTAAAGCCGTGTTCGTTTTTGTAACAGGTTTTGATAATGCCAAACCGCCGTGATCAAATCGAACATTCAATATACAAGGCGAAGAACGAAGATAAGAGCAAGAGCTAAACGAAGACCAAGAACGAAGACCTTAATCATAGTATTGAGTCGGTCTTTATTGTGATCAAGACCGACCCAATCTTTACACCTTGGCTCTTTAGGCTAAAAACTCTCATCGCATTTCTTACATCATAATAATGGTTTTAAACTTGTTTAAGTCATTAAAAACACTTGGTGTTCACCCAAACCAAAAACCAAGCCATCCAGTGTTCGGCTCTCAGAAACCAGCGTTCGGCTTTCGGTTGTCGGGTTTGGTTTTTGGCATCCGAACCAACCAAGTGGTTTTCAGCATTTTATGATCTGCTTTCACTCTTTGGCATGTTTAAACGGTTCTCCAACAAAAACACTTTGAAAACCATCTCTCGCTTTTAGTCGTTTGACAAAAACCACGCAAAACGGCGTAAACTTGGCTAGCCGTGGTTTTTACTCAAATGACGTGATTTTTAAAGTGTCTCACTT